ATGGCGGCCGCCGCCTGAAACTTGAGGCCTACGCGGTCGGTGCAGTGGCGGCTGAAGTCTGAGACGCTTGAAACGCGAATCCTACGCGGTCGACGCAGTCGCGGCTGAGGCCACAGTGGCTGAGCCGCTGCGGACGCGGTGCCGCGAGGGACTGAGCACTTAGTAACGCAACTATGCGACGTCTCACATCGTGCTTCACTGGAGTGCGTAAAAGGCGCAAGTACTTTTCTCCTTAGCATTCCCTACTCGTCGCTTACGTCGCTTACCACCAACGCGTACCGCTGGTGTAGACCTTATTCTTGCTGAGCAGGTTTGTCGGCGACGCGGCGGATGTGAACCATGACGTGCATGAACGCTTGCCTTTTTTTGATACGAAAATGTGCTCCTAAATATGCTACGTCGTCACGAACGCTTACGCTGACCCACAAGCTCAATTTGAAGTATTGCCAGCATTTTTATTTCGCCTGTACGCTGTCATCGCATCACCGTTACTCGCGACGACACAGGTCTTCGTGCTTGCCTTCCAGCGGCGCCGCGGCTCTCCCGACCCAAAATGAATGTGGCTATGTAACCGCAAATTTGGGGAGTCGTAAAGGGATCAGCTTAGTACTGTTAGAAACACTCGTGCCATTGGAGAACATTTCGTGGTGGAGGTACGCAGATGACGATACGCATGCCCAGTGGAACTATATGAAGAGAAGAAAACAACAACAAAAGTGCATTCTTTGAACTCGGGATGTTTTTGTTTCGCCCCATTAAATATATTATTCCACTGCAGTGCTGGTTTCAAAGAATGTTATTTCCTCAGTACCTTTAAAACAACCAAAGACCTTACATGAGGCACATACATGCAAAAATGAACAATGTGACGATGCTGGAACAGTATGGCCATTAGCTATAAAGCAAAATGGCAAGTTCACACAGAAAAACAACAGTATACATAAAGATTAAAAGAAGTTGACAAATTCAAATCATAGTTTCTCCCAAGAACTAGGATAAAGCAAACGGCCATGTCGCCTGAAATGTACGAGGCACATGAGGCTGACCAGTCACGCAGTCACAAGAGACTTAAAACCGGTTTCGCGGCATTCCTGTCGTAAGCAGTGGCAGGTGTGAAACAGCCTGAACTAGTGATGCTTCCGCTGTAAACACCAATTGTAAGCAATAAATAAACCTCTTCTGTTCTTACTTAATTCGCAGCATATCGGATGTTGTAGGAGAATCTCGCATCACACTTGTGTGCGCAAGCCCAAAACTAACACGACTTCAAAATGAGCAGAGATCTGAAAACTCGTGTGGGATTCGAAATCACACCCAACAAGCCTTGAAATGGAGCAACTGTATCTGTTCGAACGAGCAGCTGTGTATTTCCTTTCATTAATCTAGACGGTTTAAATGGATGTAGTTTTTGCCTTTGTACATAACATGTGGCAATGAGCATCGACAACAGAAGAATGAAAACACGTTAGAGAGCAGCTGGACCCAATTCTACTTGCCGGCTGATGAGATCGTGGACGACAGCATGAAGCGTGCAGTCTTCAGCCGCGCATGTAAACCCTTCGTGTACACCACTCTTTCAATCTTTTTTTTTTCTCCGCTTTTCAAGTATCTTTAGAGATGCTAGCAAAAAAGGAACCTTGGGGCTAAGGACGCTGGTAACTGGTCACCGGATAATGCTCAACAAGTGCTGAAGACAAGTCTGTGCCCGACTACATTACTGAGCTGCGTCATGTCGCTCAGCACTGCGAGTAGACATTCTTGTACAAGATGTTTTGTGGCCGGTTGGTTAATGGTGTATACGAGGAAGTCGTTCAGCCACACCACCTTGCAATGTCAAATCTCGTTTGCTAGGCCACAACAACTTGTGACTGCTGCGGAGTACGCCACAAACCTTACACGAGAGACCCCAGACTTCCGGGCTCCAGAAGTGGCAGAGGTTTGCCACATTGACAAACACGACCCACAGACGGCATCAAACGGTTCATCAATGCCAAGCCACAACCCTGGCGCAGTGAAGACATGTCCCGAGTACAGCTGGATAACGTTGGCATCAAAATGTTGTGCACGACGCAAGTAGCTACAATTTTGAACGTGCCATTTCTGGGACGGAAAGAGGCACATGATACGTGCATGCCGTCGGTAGTTGGCCAAATCCAAGCACCACGTTCCGGAAGCGGGAACCAGTCATCGTCTGGAATAAGACGGATCAAAGGCAGAGCCTTAGCTTTATCGAACCGGAATGGAAATTGTTGAAGTTCAACTAAATGATATTCCCATCTGCATAGAAGTGGACTCTAGAACTGCTTAGTCCGTAATTGTTCTGAAGAGAATGTGTCATCTTGGAACGGCTGCAGAGACTTAAACGTAAACCGCTTTCCGAACGTATTCACAACGTAAGTTTGTAGTTCTGGGAAGTGTCAATTTTTCCACGCGGTTAAAGGAAAAGTAGAGTGAGCCACCATTGCTCATTCCGATTCCAAGTGTTCATTAAGCTCCGCACTTTCGCGCTAAATCCAAACTTCATACTCAAATATCACAAGCCTCGATTTGTTCCTTTGGCACTTGAGCCAAACATCACGTAACTCGTGACACAAGGAACTTTTCCCCCATTGCAGAACTCTGCATGGGCTACGCCAGCTGCACTCGTGGAGAAGTAAAATGGCAAGATCTGGCTATGTGGAGGTTGTAAACGCATCATTAATCGAATCTTGAAACGGGAGTCACACTCTCTGTCAAAAGCAGAGCAAATGTTGACATAACTTGCAACACAGTCCTTTTAATACGCTCTTGGTCACGAGAGTTCCCCGTAACGCTATGGAATGGCTTGGTATACGACCAAGGTGTGGCGCTGAAGTCGACAAGGTGCGAGAAAGCTGTCAATGTAGCCAGCACTGCTGAGAAGTGGGCATCCAGGAAGGGTTATTGTAATTTCACACCCACTCTGAATGAGCCACCTTGAGATCACGGTGACGCGTCACCGCACTGGCAGCGTTCCTCATAAGTCTAAGTGTCTTTGGCTGTGTACGCTGAGTCAACTGGTCAGACTTTATAACCCTCACTGCAAGTACCAATTGTAAACAGTGTTGAATGTCATATCCGGCAGCAACACTTGCATGAACAGCGTGCAAAGTCCCATTGACGATACTCCCTCGGCCCGCTTCGCTCGCTCGGATCAAGTATTGTTCGCAGCAGGAGACGGCGAACAAAGAGAGAACTATCTCAATGAATGTCGCAACGTCCAGCCCGCTGTTCTGTTATTTTAACCGAAACTCATTATTGAAACGCATTAAAATCCAGTATGCATTTAATCGACGACGAGGAAGTTTCTCGACCCCTGAGGATGGACGACTCCGCTCATCACGGATAGACTCTAAAGTTTTCTCCCGGTGGGAACTGCAGTTAGTGTTTGGAACGCCTCAAATTTTTCTTCGAGGCCAAGAACATCACAAGCTCCACAAAGAAGCGAGCAATCCTCCTGATGTCCTACGTTGAATCAACCTACGACACTGTATGAGCCCTGCTCGCACCCAAACAGCTTTCAGAGGTTGAGTTTGAGGAGATAATCAAGTTCCTCAATGAACACTATGACCCCAAGCCGGTGGAACTGCTCAGTCGGTTCAAATTCTATCAACGAAACAATCCAAACACCGACAGGTTCCATCTCCGAGTATGTGGCCGCACTGCAAAAAATTGCTGCTGACTGCCACTTCGGCACAGTGACGGCCACGCCGACCACACCCACCCCGACAACAGCCACGACAGCCATGCCCGTGTCAAATGCCAGTTCATCGCGAGAGACTCGACATGCCCCGCAAGCACCAGCGAGAGCATTCTCCACTGTGCTACTGCTCCTAGTGATGGTGAGGGACCGATTAATTTGTGGGATCAAGGATTCCCACCTTCAACAATGTTTGCTAGTGGAAGGGAACATCACCTTCAACTGTGCCTACACTCTCGCATTGGCAACAGACTCAGCTGCCAGCCAGCAACTCCAGATCCAGAAACAAGGAAAGGTAAGGGACACAGTTCCACTGCAACCGCAAGGGGGCAAAGTCATGAAAGAAACCCCGTTCTTCGTTGCACAGGTACGCGTTCGCCTGTTGAATGGAAGCATGCTAAAGTCGCGTGCAAATTTTTACACAATGGACACCTCGAAGAAGCGCGTTTTAGTCACAGAGTTCAGCCCGGGCAGTCAACCAGAGTCAAGTCGCGATACAAAGAGGGCTGTTCACAGTGGCAAAAAAAAAGTATATTAAAAACTGTTACTGTGGAAGCCCACGCTTTTCTCGCAGATTACTCTTTTCGCCGTTGCAGACCCATCACAGCGAAGCTGTTGTTCTGGCAACAACCGCTTTACAGGGGACAGTTGCTAACACCGGTGCAGCCACACTAAAATCGCTGACTGCCACAGACAACCCCCCCCCCCCCCCCCCCTGGGCAAGACAAGGTATGCCAGCAGTGCCCGAAACCAAACTTAATGTCCGTGTTTACAAAGCGTAAGTAAAGTCGATGTGCCTCTCGAATTCAGCAACACTGGTTTACAGCATCGATAAGAAATTTCGCCGGCTGCACTATGACTGCCGGCCTGGGGCCTTTAACATGCGTCACAGAGTAGTGATACGTCACCGCACGCCGGTACGATGCTCGTCCAGATTGAAGCGAGCAGGAATGGCAATTGAACATCGAACGCCTGGGTTTTGTGGTCCGAGCCTCCTGCTTCACGTGCTCCCAGCTGTGGCGCACCAACACACTCGGCCGACGATCCCCCTCAGCAGCGTGCCCTTGAAGAGTTGTGTGCCTCGGCCCAATCCCATGAGCCGGTCACTCGTCCAATGTGGATGCTGTAACCCTGCAGGCAAACAAGGTGCTCACGGTTACAGATTGCCACTCATCTGTGAGCTCAATTGACGTTAACACATTGGTATTTCCAGGCCTGGGTCCGCAACTGAGTGAAACCTACCCGACATGTGTCCCAAGAAGGCCGCCAGCTGTCGAGGCCTTTAGTGCAGTCTCGCACTGGGCACATTGTCCTGCACATTCCTCTGCAGGGAATGGGGCCTCTTTCTTGGCCTCTTGGCAGGCTGGTCACTTGGTGGGCGTCCGGCTGGCACCCTTATTGAGCCCCTCGTCAGCCCTGGCCTACGTCGGGCAAAGCTCGTAGGCTGCACCCGGATCTGGTGTCCCCGGCGCCTTCGTCCTGCCGCAGTCGCCTTGAGGCTCAACTTGAGGCCGGTGGCGTCGTTGCCATTGGGCACACGGTCCAGCTCGTCCCCAAGACCCTGCAGGATCTCAAGGTACGTTGCGCTGTCCTCGTTCATGGCGTGCAGGTGCTGCAAGCTCGATTCCAGACGCTGGTACACTTGTTCTCGTGCCTGCACAGAAAGCGGTGAGGCAAGCAGGTGAGCAAGTTACCTCCTGTCCATACTCTGTCTCACTTTAAGTGCGAGAATAGCAGGAGCTACAAGGAAGGGCGAGCCTCAAGGTTTTGGCACCCCTGCAAGGCATGAACGCTTGTGGAGTACAAGCTCTTTTTAGGGTAACATGTTTGTGCTTTTAGCTCTAGATTTGCTGCCTCAGAATGTGAAACAAACTATAGTTTGAACTTGCAGGAAGCCCACGGCATTGTTGTCAACACCCATGTTGTGGTGAAGGTTCAGACTTTGAGGCTACAAACAACCACTAAAAACGCCTGTTTCTTTTCTTTCTTTTTTTCAATTGGTACACATGTGCGTTTTGCAAGCACACTTGCTTGACATTGCAGTAAAGTTGCACGACTGCGATTCTGGCCAGACATTGGTGCCACTTAGGAAATGAGTCCTGCCATTTGTAGGCCAGTGAGCAACACACCAGGCCAGTCATACCCATATGCCGGACATTAAGATTGATCACGGTAATACCTGGAGCGTCTCGGCATATATATCCATGCTAAAACAGTGAAAGCGGGCTCTCTGAGCTTCACTCATCTGCTAAGTTGCTTTCACATTTTAGACTGGACCAAACACCCTGTAGAAACGAAACAATTATGCAACAATCATCAGTTTTCATTTAGTACGGCAAACATGAATGCGTGGCTGGCAACAGCCAGGAAATATGTACCACCCAAAATTCCAGGCACTGCACTAGTGCACCTCCTAGTATGACCTACAAGAAGTGTTTGTGTTCTACAAGTTTACTACCGGTGACCGACAGAAAGTTTTTTTCAGCCTCTGCTGTGTATTCAGATCGCCGAGAAAAGAAACAAAGAACTGGAGTGAGCACGAACATGAAAGAGCACACATACTTGGGCAATCTGAGCCTGGTCAGGTCCCTGCACAGCCGGTGACGCCACAGCTGAAGTGGAGGGCTCGGGGGCTTCTGCCATGTCACTGGCTTCGGCAATGTGCTGGCCTTCCGAGGCCTGGGCGGTACAGCTGGCCACGTCTGGCTCTTTTGACGACTGCTGCCCTTCACAAAAAGGCATGAAAAAATTTTGCAACGGACACGTGTCTCCCAAGTCCAACTTTCCCAGTCGGTGACGATCCCCCGTGCTCGAAGGGGGGGCATTGGGAAACAACCCTCCAAAGGTCTCGTGCACAAGGGCCTGATGCTTGCAAAACACCCCTTGTTTTTCGACTGGGCAGCTGCACGCTCCGAAGCTTGGCGACACTTCGTACACCACGCCGTTGTTGGTGGAACTGGGCACCGCATAGACGTTGTCGCCCACAGGCTTGATGTTGTCTGCTGCACCTTGTGGCATCCTGCTGAACAGCCACTTGTATTCCAGCTGGTGACCGGCGACACGACTGTGGGCATGGCGGAGGATGCGGCTCTCGAAGTACCGCTCCCACACCACGGCCACCGCATCCACCAGTGCCACCGCGTTAAAGGCCTCCGTCCTGTTCAGAACCATGTCCTTCAGGACACGGATGGTGGCCTCAGCGAAGTTGTTCGTGTTGTGCCCCCGTGTGGTGATGTTGGCACGGAAGAGCAGCACCCACTCCTCCCGTCTCCCAAGGAAGGCCTCCACCCGTGCCACGAAGGCCTGGTGCGGTTGAAGCTTCAGCTGGGCAGTTGCAGCTTCCAGCTTCTCTTCACTGTCGGCGTACATCACCTGCGGTTGGTCATTGTACCTGAGAATCTTCTAATGGAGATCCGGCCAGCACCTGCCAGACTCCCACAGACACATTACAATGAAAATGCCACTCTGCTGGCGCAACCGATGTTGAGGTGTGTTGCTAGACCCGATATCACCTTCTTCCTCACTCCTCAGAACCCTAGAATGTTGCGCAAGTGCCCCCGTTACAAACAAAACTTGCCTCCTGGAAGAGCGACATCAATTGACGCCTCTGGTCCTTGTCGACGCGGTTGCGAGCTGCCGTCAGCCAGCGCCACTCCGCCTGTGCGACGTGGAAATGGCAGAGAAGCTGCCTCGCTGTGGGCCACGTCTCCTGCACCGCAGCCTTTTCCGCACTGGAGTTGTCAGTCATCGCCACGTTCGGTGCCTGAGAAACGATAATACATATGTGGCCGACCATGAGGCACAACGCTAAAAACTGGACAATCGTGCTTATATTAAATTCCCGTGGTAATTCTTTCACACATTTATGCCCAAAATACCAATTTACGGGAACTGTCACTTTGGCGCTCCTAGCATTTCCTGTACTGCAACATTTCCTTCCATTCTCTTGTTCTCAACCTAGGCTTTGCCGCTTGCACTCATGCCACAGAGACATGGTTTTTGTTAGTGTGTTCACTGCTCGGCGACGATAACAAAAATGAACCTTGAAACATGAAGGTGTCATGTCCTTTAGCTTTTGCTAAATGTGAACTAAATACAGAATGCTATAGTTTATCTTTCTCTCCAACTTACCGACTGGCCCCCAAACCAAAGTGGGTGGGTGTCACGGAGGAGCTTGAACGCAGTCAGGTACCCCTCGGTGCTCTGCTCGTTGTGGACTAGCCCTGCGACGAGGACGGTGCCAGCCATCGTTGCCACGAGCACCACCGAGACGGTGCATCTGGTCGTGTAGCAAGAGGACGTGGAGTGTATGAAGACGATGTCTTTCGCCACGTCCAGTGCTTGGGCCCGCTGCATGATCGGGGTCACCACGAGAACCGCCCAGCAGGTGCTGCTATCGCTCCGGCTCACCGTCACGCCAGTGTCTGGAAAGTATTGTGTAAGAGCCTTCCTAAAACGGTGGCTCTTTTTATCCACTTTTTCTTTAGGCACTCAATGCCTCAAAATTAGCTCCTGCATGCTACAAAATAATAGTAATGAAAAATAAAAGAAGTTTGGTTATTGTTGAAATAGGTGGCTACGAAACTCTGCACGAAAACTACCTATTGTGTACTTCGAATGTAGGCAGCGGCTTTTGGCATGCCATGCAATTTACGTGAACCCGAGACATGATTGCCGGTTAGAGTTGTCCTGTAATATCTTAGACCCGCTTGAACAACAGCAACCGACATTGACCAACCTCAAGCACGTGAAAGTATCCTTGGCAGAGTTTCAATCACTTGTTTTTACTTCACGAGCACAGGGAGATTCAAAGTCTTCCATAGGTACCTTTGTGACTGCTGCACGTGCTTGAAGTTGATCAAAGTAGCTCGTTGTTTTCTTGTTGCTCAAATGAGACTTAATTAAACATGTCTAATGTCGTGGCCCAAGCTCATACACCGACAACATATTTCTTTTGGCAAAGTGACAACTCAGGAATGGGCCTTAGCACTGTGGTAAGTCGTGGCATACCTTGAGCTGCGTAGAGGGTTGCCTTCTCCTCCAGCTTGGACAGCGGGGCAATGGCGCCACCGCCAAAGCATGTGGTGCTCCACACGCTGTGCCAGTGCTGTGCAGTCCTGGTCGTGGGGTTCAGGGCACCGTTGACCAGCAGCACAGGACCGCCGCCCTCTAGGCACAGCTTGCTCTCGTGGAGCCTCCGAGCCTCGCAGACAGTCATCCCGTCGCTGAAGTAGCTGAAGTCACAACGTACCTTGAGATCCTGCAGGGTCTGGGGGACAAGCTGGACCGTGTTCCCAATGGCAACGACGCCACGGGCCTCATGTTGAGCCTCAAGGCGACTGCGGCAGGACGAAGGCGCCGGGAACGCCAGATTTGGGTGCAGCCTAAGCACCTTGCCCGACGTAGGCCAGGGCTGACGAGGGGCTCAAAAAGGGTGCCAGCCGGACGCCCACCAAGTGACCAGCCTGCCAAGAGGCCAAGAAAGAGACCCCATTCCCTGCAGAGGAATGTGCAGGACGATGTGCCCAGTGCGAGACTGCACTAAAGGCCTCGACAGCTGGCGGCCTTCCTGGGACCCATGTCGGGTAGGTTTCACTCAGTTGCGGACCCAGGCCTTGAAATACCAATGTGTTAACGCCAATTGAGCTCACAGATGAGTCGCAATCTGCAACCGTGAGCACCTTCTTTGCCTGCAGGGTTACAGCTTCCACATTGGACGAGTGATCGGCTCATAGGACTGGGCCGAGGCACACAACTCTTCAAGGGCACGCTGCTCAGGGGGATCGTCGGCCGAGTGTGTTGGTGCGCCACAGCTCGGAGCACGTGAAGCAGGAGGCTTCGACCACAAAACGCAGGCGTTCGAGGTTCAATTGCCATCCCTGCTCGCTTCAATCTGGACGAGCATCGTACGGCGCGCGGTCACGTATCACTACTGTGTGACGCACGTTAAAGGCCCCCGGCCGGCAGTCATAGTGCAGCCGGCGAGATTTCTCATCGATGCTGTAAACTAGTGTTGCCGAATTCGAGAGGCACATCGACTTTACTTACGCTTTGTAAACACGGACATTAAGTTTGGTTTCGGGCACTGCTGAAATACCTTGTCTTGCCCAGGGGGGGGGGGGGGGGGGGTGTCTGTGGCAGCCAGCGATTTTAGTGTAGCTGCATCGGTGTTGGCAACCGCCCCCAGTAAAGCGGTTCTTGCCAGAACAACAGCTTCACTCTGATGGGTCTGCAACGACGAAAAGAGTAATCTGCGAGAAAAGCGTAGGCTTCCACAGTAACAGTTTTTCCTATACTTCTTTTTGCCACTGTGAACAGCCCTCTTAGTATCGCGACTTGACTCTGGTTGACTGTCCGGTTGGACCTTTTTGGCCTTACGTTTCTATTTGTACCCCCAGATTTCTTTTCTGACGCGGGAGTCTACTAATTTCCCGTGCGTTTTGCGCTTATTTTGCAATCTCATTCATTTTAGACCTGACTGCATTGTCCAACACATTCCAAATCGGAGACGTGTGGAGGAGGTTTATTCACTAATGCATACTGGGGTTAAATGCGTTTTTTTAATGAACTTCGGCTGAAAGAACGGTGAAGCGAACTGCAAGCTGCGACGTTTGTTGGAGAGTGTCTGATCGAGTTCCAAACGTCGTCCGTTCACCAGGAGAGCAACAATGATCCAAAACGGGTCCCCTTCAGCGACGCTGCTCACTGCAAAGTGGTCTCCATGTGTCTCACCTTGCGTAACTGTCTACCGACGGGTGCGACTTAACGAGCGTTCCTGTGACTTGCGTTGAACTCTGTGACTGAAACGCGCTTCTTAGAGGTGTCCATTGTGTGAAAATTTGCACGCGACTTTAACAAGCTTGCATTCAACAAGCGAACGGATACCTGCGCAACAAAGAACGGGGTTTCTTTCATGACTTTGCCCCCTTGTGGTGGCAGTGGAACTGTGTACCTTACCTTACCTTGTTTCTGGATCTGGAGTTGCTGGCTGGCAGCAGAGTCTGTTGCCAATGCGAGAGTGTAGGCACAGTTGAAGGTGATGTTTCCTTCCACTAGCAAACATTGTTGAAGGTGGGAATCCTTGATCTCACAAATGAATCGGTCCCTCAGCATCACTTGGAGCGGTAGCACAGTGGAGAATTCTCTCGCTGGGGCTTGCGGGGCATGTCGGGTCTCTCGCGATGAACTAGCATTTGACACGGGCATGGCTGTCGTGGCTGTTGTCGGGGTGGGTGTGGTCGGCGTGGCCGTCACTGTGCCGAAGTTGCAGTCAGCAGCGATGTTTCGCAGTGCGGCCACATACTCGGAGATGGAACCTGTCGGTGTTTGGTTTGTTCCGTTGATAGAATTTGAACCGACTGAGCAGTTCCACCGGCTTGGGGTCGTAGTGCTCTTTGAGGAACTTGATTATCTCCTCAAACTCAACCTCTGAAAGCGGTTTGGGTGCGAGTGGGGCTCATACAGTATCGTAGGTTGATTTAACGTAGGTCATCAGGAGGATGGCTCGCTTTTTTGTGCAGCTTGTGATGTTCTTGGCCTCGATGTAAAATTCGAGGCGTTCCATACACTAACTGCAGTTCCTACCGGGGGAAAACTTTAGAATCCATCCGTGATGAGCGGAGTCGTCCATCCTCAGGGGTCCAGAAACCATTTCGTCGTCAATTGAACGCATACTGGAGTTTAATGCGTTTCATTAATGAGTTTCGGTTGAAATAACGGAACAGCCGACTGGACGTTGCGACATTCGTTGAGAGTTCTATCTATGTTCGCCGTTTCCTGCTGCGAACAATACTTGATCCGAGCGAGCGAAAGGGGCCGCGGGAGTGTCGTCACTTGGACTTTGCACGCTGTTCTTGCAGGTTTTGCTGCCGCATATGACATTCAACACTGTTTACATTTGGTACTTGCAGTGAGCGTTTTAAATTCTGACCAGTTGACTCTGCGTACAGAGCCAAACTCACTTAGACTTACGAGGAACGCTGTCAGTGCGGTGACGCGTCACCGTGATCTCAAGGTGGCTCATTCAGAGTGGGTTTGAAATTACAAAAACACTTCCTGGATGCCCACTTCCAGCAGTGTTGGCTAGGTTAACAGCTTTCTCGCACCTTGTCAACCTCAGCGCCACACCATGGTCGCATATCAAGCCCTTCCATAGCGTTACGGAGAACTCTCATGACCAAGAGCGTATCAAAAGGACTGTGTTGCAAGTTATGTTAACATTTGCTCTGCTTTTGACAGAGAGTGTGACTCCCGTTTCAAGATTCGATTAATGATGCGTTTACAACCTCCACATAGCCAGATCTTGCCATTTTACTTCTCCACGAGTGCAGCTGGCGTAGCCCATGCAGAGTTCTGCAATGGGGGAAAAGTTCCTTGTGTCACGAGTTACGTGATGTTTGGCTCAAGTGCCAAAGGAACAAATCGAGGCTTGTGATATTTGAGTATGAAGTTTGGATTTAGCGGTGCGGAGCTTATTGAACACTTTTAATCGGAATGAGCAATGGTGGCTCACTCTATTTTGCCTTTAACCGCGTGGAAAAATTGACACTTCCCAGAACTACAAACTTGCGTTGTGAATACGTTCGGAAAGCGGTTTACGTTTAGGTCTCTGCAGCCGTTCCAAGATGGCACATTCTCTTCAGAACAATTACGCACTAAGCAGTTCTAGTGTCCACTTCTATGCAGATGGGAATATCATTTAGTTGAACTTCAAAAATTTCCACCCCGGTTCGATGAAGCTAAGGCTCTGCCTTTGATCCGTCTTATTCCAGACGATGACTGGATCCCGCTTCCGGAGCGTGGTGCTTGGATTTGGCCAACTACCGACGGCATGCACTTATCATGCGTCCCTTTCCGTCCCAGAAATGGCACGTTCAAAATTGTAGCTACTTGCGTCGTGCACAACATTTTGATGCCAACGTTATCCAGCTGTACTCGGGACATGTCTTCACTGCACCAGGGGTGTGGCTTGGCATTGATGAACCGTTTGATGCCTTCTGTGGGTCGTGTTTGTCAATGTGGCAAACCTCTGCCATTTCTGGAGCCCGGAAGTCTGGGGTCTCTCGTGTAAGGTTTGTGGCGTACTCCGCAGCAGTCACAAGTTCTTGAGGCCTAGCAAAAGAGATCTGACATGGCGAGGTGGGGTCGCTGAACGACTTCCTCGCATACAACATTAACCAACCGGCCACAAAACATCTTGTACAAGAATGTCTACTCGCAGTGCTGAGCGACGTGACGCAGCTCAGTAATGTAGTCGGGCACAGACTTGTCTTCAACACTTGTTGAGCATTATCCGGTGACCAGTTACCAGCGTCCTTAGCCCCAAGGTTCCTTTTTTGCTAGCATCTCTGAAGATACTTGAAAAGCGGAGAAAAAAAAAAAAAGATTGAAAGAGGGGTGTACACGAAGGGTTTACATGCGCGGCTGAAGACTGCACGCTTCATGTTGTCGTCCACGATCTCATCAGCCAGCAAGTAGAATTGGGTCCAGCTGCTTTCTAACGTGTTTTCATTCTTCTGTTGTCGATGCTCATTGCCACATGTTATGTACAAAGGCAAAAACTACATCCATTCAAACCGTCTAGATTAATGAAAGGAAATACACAGCTGCTCGTTCGAACAGATACGGTTGCTCCATTTCTAGGATTGTTGGGTGTGATTTCGAATCCGACACGAGTTTTCAGATCTCTGCTCATTTTGAAGTCGTGTTAGTTTTGGGCTTGCGCACACAAGTGTGATTCGAGATTCTCCTACAACATCCGACATGCTGCGAATTAAGTAAGAACAGAAGAGGTTTATTTATTGTTTACAATTGGTGTTTACAGCGGAAGCATCACTAGTTCAGGCTGTTTCACACCTGCCACTGCTTACGACAGGAATGCCGCGAAACCGGTTTTAAGTCTCTTGTGACTGCGTGACTGATCAGCCTCATGTGCCTCGTACATTTCAGGCGACATGCACGTTTGCTTTATCCTAGTTCTTGGGAGAAACTATGATTTGAATTTGTCAACTTCTTTTAATATTTATGTATACTGTTGTTTTTCTGTGTGAACTTGCCATTTTGCTTTATAGCTTATGGCCATACTGTTCCAACATCGTCACATTGTTCATTATTGCATGTATGTGCCTCCTTTAAGGGCCTTGGTTGTTTTAAAGGGACTGAGGGAATAACATTCTTTGAAACCAACACTGCAGTGTAATGATATATTTAATGTGGCGAAATAAAAACATCCCGAGTTCAAAGTATGCACTTTTGTTGTTGTTTTCGTCTCTTCATATAGTTCCACTGGGCATGCGTATCGTCATCTGCGTACCTCCACCACGAAATGTTCTCCAATGGC